TTTCTTCAACTTTAACGTTTTAAAGAGTATCTCAACCAGAAACATAAAGAATTTTAAAATCAAAGTAGAATAAGTAGATTTCGTCATCGATGAATGATGATACCTCAGGTGCGTTACATTAATTTCTCTAACGCCAGAACCTTTAAATTCTTCATCGACCTAAAAAGCAACGATATCCAAATCACAAGTAAGTATGGTAGGGAAAGGAGAGTAGAGATAAGCTCATAATTATAAGAAAGGACATAGGGGTGTTTTTACTTGTTTTATTACAATTTAGTCACAGGAAAATTTTTTGCACTCTGTATGTAAGAGACTCCTCACTTATTGATACCTTGCTCTCTACACGCACTTCAACAGAAAACGAGGTTTATTTCCCCGATAATTTTTAGAGCAATTGGGTTAAGGAAAGCTTTTCTATACAGAGCAAAGGAGGACTAAGATAACTTTTTTCCTTCTGTTTTATTGCAGTATTTAATAGAGAAAATCCTAACGAATTATGATACTGCAGCAATGATTATATTGTTGGATAGAAAATATCTCATTCTTATTGATTTTTTATTTAATTAAGTAATGAGCACCTTCTCAAAAATATGATAACACAAATGACTTACCGAACGTATTATTATTCCAACAAACAGTTGTGTATCTAGGTCAGACAAGTCTGTAAGTTCCTCTCTCCACTTTTTATTGCTTATTTTAAGGCTGATCATGATAACAATTGCCACTGTGTCTATTGAAGCAAGATAAACGGAAGTCCAACTTAATTAGCCTGAAGATGTAGCTTGCAACATATTAACATTCATTACCTACTATTTAGCAAAGCAGCGAAATTGTAGCAAAGAAAAAAGGGCCCTCACATACCACACTAATAATTCGGTTTCCGGTATTTCGTATTTAGTAAAATCCTGGCCTATCGGGTAATTATAGGGAACTAGCGAGCTTACATTCCCGGATTTTTTGAAGCAATCTCGTAGTTCTCCTCCCCCTTTACATCCTCGAGATTCAATTTATTGACGTCTCGTCAACCAATGGGTCAAAATATTCGTCTTTCTTCGCTTGACTTACCATTTTCTTTGCAATCTTTTCCCTTTTTTCCCTTTGGACAAAGACAAAAGTGTTTTCCAAATTCTCTGCAAGTTTGTCCATTGGTACATTCCACAAGGCAAGGGTTTCCTACAAGCACAAAAGTCAAAAGAAGTTATTGAATGAATGAAAGTTCCGCTAATGTTTTAAGCGGGAGAGCCAAAAACTTACTCCCAGAGCTTTTCAAATCATATATTTTTACTGGTTGATAGATATTTTCTATTTGATTGGGTTGTTCTCTTGAATTTTTTGTTCTGAGAAAAGCGTTTCAAGGTTGAAGATTCTAGCCTTAAAAGCTGTATTGTGTTTTTAATTGTCACTTGGAATTGGAAAGTGGAAATAATATTTGCAACAGTATTGTTAAAAATATATATTTTGGCCATATCATATCACCGTCTGCAACACCAAGGTCAGGAGATAGAATTATTGTCACTGCGCTGAGCATTATTTTATCATAGAAAATGTTGTTGTAGATCGTGACTTTATAGATTTAAAGGTTTAATCGTTTTTCTCACGATGTTAGTGTCAGGCTAATCAATTGTGTATTGATTGCAACGCTTCGACTGTTCCACTGCTAGTTAGGCAACAAGTTTGAAAGTTTACGTGCAACGGGAGGGCGTTCTTTACAAAATCACAAGTAAATGTGACAAAGAATACATCGGAGGAACAGGGAGACAGAGAATTAAAGAATCTCAGAATTTTGGTGGTTTCAGAACACGCCTTTGGAACAGGACCGGTTCCTGTTTGGGGCCAGGTTAGACTTTTTTGATTATGACTCTTAGTGTTACGCAAGTAAGGTTAAAGAAGCTGTCCACATAGGAATTCATCCTAATAACATCAATGGATGCTTATGATCAAAACGCATAACAACCGATCTGTTACAAAGGGGACCTTTAAGGGAACAATATCTAATAGTCAGAATAATTATGAATATCGAAATGAACCAATAAGAGCGTGCCATAGCATACCAATAACAACAAACTAAGGTGCTATCGCATAACGAAGACTCATTACGAGGAAGAAAAATTGTCAGTCCTGAAGAACATGGAACATGATTTCCAATACAGATTTGTTGACTTGGAATAATATTATGAACCGATAACTGAAAAGGTACGCTAATAAGGACACGTGTACCGGGCAACTTCAACTGCACATGAATGCTTGCTGTCCTTGTTGCATTGCCACACTCGTTGCTGGCTTCACATTTGTATTCACCGGCTTCACTTCTGTTAATGCTTGTAAGCTCCAACATGTTGCCACTGTGACGCTGACCATTGGGTGTCATCCAAGACACCACTGGGGGAGGCATT